GAACATCATTAAAAAATTCCTATATTTTTGAATAGACTGACTCTTTTTGTCCTCAAGTGGATTACCTCTTTGTCCATGTAAGTGGAAACGAGAATTGATAAAAACTACTCAACTTCCGTTGAATATAAATAATTTGAAGGGGGAGCAGTAGAAATAAATTTAGAAATTATTGAGTATAAGACTGCTACGAAAATCAGGACAGATTTTTAAGAAAAATCAATTTATGCTTTATTCAAGCTTTCGATAAGAGACACTTATCATCATTTTCTTATATTCGTGACTCATTTAAATTTGTGAAAAAGATTATAGGAATCCAAAATAGCTCTGATCAAATAATGGTTAGTTTTGATGTCGATAATTTATACACAAATGTTCCTGTTCATGAAGCTATAGACATTCCTCTAGACATGTTATTTAAAAGTCCTTCTCCACCTGCTATCCCTTTTACTCAATCACAATTAAAACAATTATTAGAATTCGCTGTATGCAACATTCCATTCAGATTTCTCGATAAAGTATATATACAAACTGATGGATCAATGTATGAGTGAATATGCAGCAAAGATTTATCACACAAAGACAATCCTTGTACAGACAATAGACAGTACCAAACAAATTTCACTTCTGCAGTAAAATACTGCAAAAGTAAACTTTGACGTTCTGTCATATATCATGTATAACAATTGAAGTTGTGCAATTGACTTAACACTTGTATAACATCTTGATCAGTTAATTCATTATCACTCAATTTGAATTCGACAGGATCATGTAGTACTGTTGTACTAAGAGTTCCATCTTCATTATGATCGATGATACTGATCCACAATTCGTGTCTGGTGGATAGGGTCATTGGTAAATTTAAAAAGTTGCGCATTTTCACTCCCTTGAACTGTTGATGTTTTCTTTCTGTCGATAAACACTTTGTATACCTGAAAGAATTTCAGCATAACTTATTCCGATAAGAAATCTATACGGTATCATTAAATGTATACTTTTGTGGACCTATTTGTTCAACTTGATAGGGTAGATGTGTACAAAAATGATATTTTGGTTTTGCCATTTGACATGAATAAGTCAACTAATATTGGACTAAAGGTGATCCCATTGCTACTCCATCCGTTTGTAAACTAATAGATAGTTTTTACTTGGGTTAGATAATGAATTATCTAGCAAAGTAAAAACTATCTATTAGTTTATCTACTATCGCAGCACTATGGGCGTAAAACAGATAAATCCTCGTATAAATAGAGGTCGGCTGTATACTACTCGTTAAGAGTGATACTGATCGTTAAAGTGTTGCACAACTTCAATTGTTGTACATGATATATGACAGAACGTCAAAGTTTACTTTTGCAGTATTTTACTGCAGAAGTGAAATTTGTTCGGTTCTGTCTATTGTCTGTACAAGGATGGTCTTTGTGTGATAAATCTTTGCTGCATATTCACTCATACATTGATGAATTATCCAGCCCAAGTAAAAACTATCTATTAGTTTACAAACTGATGGAGTAGCAATGGGATCACCTTTAGTCCAATATTAACTGACTTATTCATGTCAAATCTTGAGCATAAAATTAATAGATTCTCAACAAATAAACCATCAATATGGATTAGATATGTAGATGATATATTCTGTATTTTCAAAAAACAACAAAATATTAATTACTTTTTAACAAGAATTAATAAGTGGCACCCTAATATAAAATTTACAACTGAACATGAATGTAACGAAAAGTTGGCCTTCTTAGACGTACTAATAAGTCGAGATAATATAAATAATAAATATATTACCACGTTATCCAGAAAACCTACCAATACGAATCTGTACTTACTATATGAAAGTAATCAATGCACAGAATATAAATTAGGTTTAATTCGAACGTTAGTCATTCGCATACTTCTAATTTGTTCAACAGATGAATTAAAGAATAATGAACTTAAATTAATGAAAGAAACCTTAATGAGTTAGTCACCCATAAAGTCTTTCAGCTTATGAATCTGCTGTCACTCTAGTTTATATCGAATTCTAATTTATTTATAGTCTTGATGATTTCTGTTCAGCAGTAAATAACTTCACGTACAGTAAAACTGAAGAATCATCAAAACCACATTTAGATTTAACAATCGCAAAATTACGAGAACAAAATAATACTAGTTTGCCGTTAACTTCCATGTAGACATATGTACTCGTTTTCAATCTTCCATTCATTCTAAAAAAATTACTAAACAATAGCAATTTTGAACAATATCGTTTAATTCTATACGTTGTTGATATTCTGTCGATATGCTTTGCCACAGAAGTGCATGAAACAACACATATTATTTTAAAAAAATTAATTGAACATCACAACAGACAATTTCAGCAATTATATCCAACATTAGCAAAACCAAAATATCATTTTTGTACACATCTACCCTATCAAGTTGAACAAATAGGTCCACAAAAGTATACATTTAATGATACCGTATAGATTTCTTATCGGAATAAGTTATGCTGAAATTCTTTCAGGTATACAAAGTGTTTATCGACAGAAAGAAAACATCAACAGTTCAAGGGAGTGAAAATGCGCAACTTTTTAAATTTACCAATGACCCTATCCACCAGACACGAATTGTGGATCAGTATCATCGATCATAATGAAGATGGAACTCTTAGTACAACAGTACTACATGATCCTGTCGAATTCAAATTGAGTGATAATGAATTAACTGATCAAGATGTTATACAAGTGTTAAGTCAATTGAATTTACCTTTCGATCCAGTAGCAATGATTAAGTCAATCAAAATAGATGGAATTGAATATCGCGAAAACGCTCTTATTTACGTTGCAGATCACCCGTTCCGTGCTTTACCTCAATTTGGTGAAGTCAAATACATAGTAAATAATGAAACTGATGTTCTGTTTGTTATAATGAATTGGAAACGCTAGAATATTCAGAAAGTGTACGCTCATTTGCTGTTAAACGGTCAACCAATTTTAATTATCTTTCATATTATCATTTACAACATGCATGGCCATTAAAACTTGTTAATTTTAGACATTCTTTATATGTTCCTCTTCATCCATACGGACATTCGTACTCATCTGTATAAGTGTTATGCATTTCAGTTATCAATTCAATAACATCAATAGTATTGATCGCCCTCACTCAATGTTTTACTCTGTATAAACTCACTTCGCTCAATACTTGCAGCATTTTCGTCTAAAAGTTCTGGATATGATAACGTTTTCATTTCTAATGAATAACATCTTTGTTTCGATTGAATTTCTTGTCGAATAAAATATGTTGCTTTAACTAGTGAACGAATTTCTAATGAAGAAGACACTGCTAATTTCTTCTGTATTAAATCACGTAAGCGGCTAATATCTTTTTCATAATTATACCTTTCCGATCTCGACTTGTACTGCATTATTTCCCGTTTAATATCTTCATGTGTTTTCTGAATGTTTGCTGTTATACAAGTTCCATCTACATGTTTATCTAAATAAATATCGTTCTGTAATCATTCACAGTTAAAGACAATACTTTGTAACACCTGTCATTCAAAAAATTACATCTCATCTTATGCTTTTTCATGTTCAGTTTGGGCTTCTCTTCTTTCAGTATCTGGTTGGTTACTCTCTAAAATTCAGAATATTTAGAATAAACATAGTAGTATGCCGTTTTACATTTCGGCCTCACTTTGAGACAAACATAGTATGAGTTATGACTAGCTGCTGTTGCGGTAACATTTGCTAAATGTTGAGTTTTCCAACAACGTTTACAACGCTCCACTCTCCAAAACAAACAATTTTTATAATGATCGGTTTTACTTTGACATATTTTGATGGTTTTAGGCAATTTTGCAGGTAAAACCGCTTTAATGATAACTGGGGATTGAGGTTTTGGAACTACACACACAAGTAGAGATACACAAATTACAAATAAAGTGGAGTTGACGATGAAGATGGCGTTGTTTGTACGGTTTCTTCCATCAGAATCTCCAGATTATTACCTTCAGTTTGAGCATTCATGAATGCTGAGAAAAAGCAGCCATTTTAACAGGAGAAAGTCCTCGAGACTAGTGGCGTAACCAGAAACTGGCTATAGATATGGCGGTGGCCGTACCACCTCCCAAAACTTTTTGGAGGTAGTGTCTGCCAAATTCTGCAGTGGGTACGGCGAAAGTACCAATAGGTACGGCGGCCGCCGTACCTTGGTTACGCCACTACTCGAGACCGTAGCAAGGGTGTTTAGAAAGAGATGAGGTTTTTTCAAATCTTCCATGCATCAAAGTAGCTACTCACTCCAAAAATAAAACAAATCTGTTCTTTCAGAAGCACCGGTGAAAGAATAACAGAACACGAAACAAGAAAAAACTTAGAGTCCATCGATCAAGCTACAGGCAACGAAATCTTCAAAGTACGACTGGTATTCATACGCCTCCTCTTGATATTTTTTTTTTGACTGGGATATTATAGGGGGGTTTACACACACACACACATAGATTTTGAACTTGCCTTAGTCACAGAATATCAATGTGTTGCAGTCCTAAAGGGGTAGCGGAATTCATAGAACTCTACATTGATAAAATTTTCAAGATTAGCAGAAAGAATTCAAGAATTAGCATCAAGGTTTTTATCAATTTCTGAAATTTTAAAAATTTCAAAAATCTCAGAAGAACACATTGGTGGTTTTATGAACCAGTCAAATAAAAATGTTTTGTGATGACTAACTACACACTGTCCCGGAAAAGCATAGTTTTAGAAAAAGCACACTTAAATTGTGCCAATGGCGTAGAAAAGTGTGCCAAAGTATGCTTTTTATGTGCTGCTAGCATGTTTTTACCGTGTCACTGACACATTTCTAGTGTGCTTTCGGCACACTGCGTTACCATTTTTGGACGCTTTTTGTGTGCTACTTGTAAAAGTGTATCATCGGCACACTTCAAGTGGGTCATTAGCGCGCTTAAAATGTGCCGATGAGGCACTTGAAGCGTGTCGACGATACACGTTTAGAAGTGGCTCACAGAAAGCTTCCAAAAATGCTACCGCAGTGTGGGTAAAGCACACTATAAATGTGTCAATGACACGGGAAAAGCATGCTAGCAGCACATAAAAAGCATACTTTGGCACACTTTTCTACGCCATTGGCACAATTTAAGTGTGCTTTTTCTAAAAGTATGCTTTTCCGGGACAGTGCACTAGGCGTTGTTTTTTTCTGTGATTACAGATGGTGACTATTTTTACTGACCGACTGACTAAATTTGATTGGTCAGTAAGGTCGGCGGTCAGTAAAAATAGTCACCACCGTGAATAAAATAGTTTTGAAGCAGGAATTCTCATGATTAGGTTGCTAAGTGAGGGCAAAGTTTACGTACATTCTGGTTTTTTAAAAAACACTTTACTTTTCCGCTGAATACACTCTGAAAATTTTTCTCTTGTCAAAGTGTACCCGTACACGCTGCATCATTTCACGTTAGAAACGCTGTTTTCTAGATAAACAAGAAGCATACACAACTGTACAGCATTGGTTTGGCTTTGGTACTTGTAGCTTGAATAAAATGTCCTCGACTGCTGGTGATGGTGATAGAAATCACCTTTTGCTCGATAAAATGGATTTAAAAGGGAAAAATATTGTTATAACAGGTGCTAGTAGTGGCATTGGTGAACATATTGCATTAACATTAGCAAAAGAAGGGTGAGTAAATCTCAATTTACAATTTTAAGAGAAGAAAACTCTCGGCTAGAATTTTTTTCGAACAGCTAAGCTCGGTCTGCAATCAAACCCATCCGTTTTTGCTTACTTTTCGTTTGTGTTTAGATGTAACTTGGCATTATTAGCTCGTACCAAATCAAAATTAGATCAGATAGCTGAGAAATGTCGTTCATCTTCATCTCAAATCAAAATTCACGTCCTTCAATGTGACATGTCTGAGAAGCTGAGTGTTGATGAAACATGTAAACAGATTGGCAGTCTCTTTAATAATGAGGTACATGTTTTAATAAATAATGCCGGTATAATGGGAGAACAGATTAGTTCAATGGAAGAAAAAACAAAGGGTGATGGTGAGAAAGATGTTGTTGATATGTGGGAAGAAGTGATGATGGTTAATTTAGTTAATCTAATGAGAATAACAAACAGATGTTTACAATTTATGAAGAAAATTGAACATGGTGCTGCAATTATAACAATATCTTCGGTGGCTGCAACAGTATGTTTTGTGTCTATCACTTTCAAAAAGCAGTGTTTACTTTTGAATGCCAGCTGTACTTTGAAGATTTCGTTGCCTGTAGTTTGGTCGATGGAGTACTAAGTTTTTTCTTGTTTCGTGTTCTGTTATTCTTTCACTGGTGCTTCTGAAAGAACAGATTTGTTTTATTTTTGGAGTGAGTGGCTACTTTGATGCATGAAAGATTTGAAAAAACCTCATCTCTTTCTAAACACCCTGGCTACAGTCTCGAGGACTTTCTCCTGTTAAAATGGCTGCTTTTTCTTAGCATTCAGTTTTTTATCATTTATTCATACGGTAAATGATCGATTTTGAAAAATTTTTTTATAGTTTTCAAAAAGAAAGATATTTCGAATGCAACTTTGCAGTTAGGATTCCGTATAAACACTAAAAATGAGTAAGGGCTGCGTTGGAGACCAAAGCGCCGTAAAGATACGATGAGTCACACAGAGTAGTCCATCAACTAGTTTGCAGAAACGATGAAATGAACTTTATTCACTAAACTATAACTACATATCTCTCTTTCTTTATTTGTTACAGATGACTGGTAGTAACTTGTCTCACTATCATGCAAGTAAATGGGGAGTTAATGGTTTTCTAGGGTCAATTTATGAAGGTTAGTTTTTAGATTCTCTACGTCTTTTTAAAACTCCAACAGTGTAGATAATTCTAAATTTTACTTTTCTTACAGTTTGAGGGTTTAGCGTAACTGATTCACCATTCCTTTCTACAAAAAAAACATTTACGTCTGGTCTGGTAGACTAAAAAATTCTCTGTAACCATCACCGACATTTTTAGAAACAGAGATGAGAACTTCTGTTTTCTAACTGACATTATCTTTTTCTTCTATCTCTTCTTAGATGTACGTCAGTATGGTATAAAAGTGTGTTCAATAATGCCGGGCATGGTTAATACACCAATGTTAGGTGATTTTATGAATAAAGTACATGTAGAAAAATGTATACAACCAGATGATATTGCACAAGGTATCCTTTATGTATTAAAAACACCGTACAATGTATGTCCAACAGAAATTAAATATCGTCCACAATATTCCCCGTATAGAAAAGAATAGAATAATAATCAAATGATAGAATGCACTGTAACTATTTTCTTCTTTCTTTCTTCTTTTTAATAAGATGAATGAGTAGATGACCGATGATATATAATTGAAGCTTTCGTATTCCATACGCCGAATGAAAGAGTCTCACTTTCATCTTTGGGTCTACAACTAGAAAAAAAAAGGAAACGGCAGCTAAGTTTGTCAATGGTTTTCCGTTTTTGAAAATGCTACTGAAATTTGATCAGAAATTTTAGAAATTGATCACATTGTTCGAGAGTTGTTTTTTCAAAATTTAGTTTATTTTGTTTTTCTAAAGTGCATAGAGTGATTACATCCAAGACGTAAGTAATGTAAATTTGTACACATATCATCTACATAGGATTTAATACTAATATTATACTTTTGAAGAAAATATTCTCGTCAAATGATGGAAGTATAATCCGATTAATATAATCTATTAAGCGCTGTTGTCCATTAATAACTCCTATTTTAAATCCACATGAATTTGTTTTAATTTTGTTAATGACGTTAGTAGGCTTATCCATCGTTGACTATCTAAAAAAGTATCAAATCTCGTCCCATTCTCAAATGAAATACGTCCATTTACATTTGCGGCGTGTAAATTTGGCATATTCATCAGTAATAGTACAAATTAATTAAACTTAGAATCAATACAAATATATAAATCTAAATTTACTTTAGATTTTAACAAAAATTGCGGTATTACAAGTAATGTATCGATGATTGAAGAGAAATTCGTTTAAGATTCAAATGTAAAAGACTTGGTAAATGTGTTGTTAACAGTAAAAATAAATAATCTAAATTCAGACCACCATCCAAAGTTAAATATTTTAATTGATTCGCCGATGGAGACGATAATTATTAAAGAAGATAAAGCCTTAGAAAGTTTTTTAAAAATTTTGATATGCTTCAGATGAAATATGCGTCTTTTTAGGACTGCATATTTTTTACTAGACCTTTAAGGAGAGATGGTGTAAAAAGTCACCTGTTTGACAGTGACAGAGAACTGCAAAAAACCGGTGTTTTGCCGATTTTCTATGTCATCAGAAACTAACTCCGTAAGAAAGCCAATTTCTTTTCGGTTTTTAGCAGAAAATCAAGACAATCGATTGAAAAACATCGACAAGTCAAAAACCAAGTATTTAGGTCAAAATGGCATGAAAATTCAAATTTTCGAGTACAGAAGAGACTTAGATGTTTTCCCGTCAAAAATGGGTCGACAACAGCGCCACTCAAAATTTAACTGGGAAGTCTGGGTTACTCCAGTGAAAGTGCTTAACTTTAAGTTCTGATTTGAAAACTGGTTTTAAATCCGGTTGTATTTCAAAATTCGCAGTCCAAAGTATGCCTAGAGGGTTGATGACCCAAACGATGGCAACACAAAATGGCCGCCGAGATCATCAATTTGGTTGAAGCTTGACATCCATGAGTTATGGATGTCTAGTTTCAACCAGAATTCAAAGACATAAAATCATTGCATTTTATTTGCAAAAGAGAAGTTTTTCGGCTCAAGAGCGGTTGCAAAAATAGCCGCCAAGGGCGCTACTTGAGAACTGTTATTTTTGAAATGTGCTGTGATGCCCTCAACGAAACATCAGTCCACTGACCATATGCATAGTGGGCAACTTTGGCTAGGCATTTATATATTTGTTTTAGAGGCAGTTCAAAAGCCTATGAACACTCTTGTAGTTTTATTTTGCAGCTTTTCAGATGTGCTCTTTTCAATAGTGCGATTCAAAAACGCTTTTACTCTGATTTTCAGAGACCTGGATCTCTAAAAACCCGTATATAAGTAGTATACCTTGTGATGAAAATAGAAAGTTGATTCTGTATGTTTTTCATTAAACAACAACACACCTTATAGCTTAATAGTTCAAAGTCGTTGTTCCATAGTGTTTCCTGTGTGTTTCAGATAGACAATGTTTTAATTAAATATTCTTTTAAACGTCAGCCAGTTTGTTATACTATTTTGAATAACATTATGTCCGGATATACAAAGCAGTTTGTTGAGAATAAAATTAAACAACGTCAAATAATGATGTTTTCAAAAAGCAAAGATCCCGATTGTATACGAGCAAAACAAATCATTGAACAATATCAATTACCTGAAGGTATTTTTGCGTCCTCACTTAATATAAATATTTAGCTAACTGAGTATATTATGTTGCTAGGATCATACGAATGTCTTGATATTGAAAAACGTCAAGATTGTCGTCAAATGGAAAATTATTTTCAAATACTGTGTTTAACTGACAGACGAAAAGTAATTATTTTACAACTGAATGGTGATTTTATTTTGCATGTTATTTTTTTTGTTATAATTAGGTACCATATTTCTTTTTTAATGGACTGTATTTTGGTTCATTGTTTGAATTGAATATTTGTCATCAAAATGGTTCACTCAAACAATTAGTACTTGACACTTGTGCTTCATGAATGTAAATATTTTGCCAGTTTAGTTTTTTGTTTTAGCGAAAGGTATTATCTTAAATAAAGATTATATACTGAGTTATAAAGAATATCACGAAAGTTGTCATAAACGAAAAAAGTTGTTGTCATGTATATCATGAAAACCAAAAGTTAAGAGACCGCTTGAGATTAGACTATTTTTTAAGTTTCAAGAACGAAAAAATAACTTTTCCCAAAAGATTTTCGCGAAATGCAATACTGGTATAGATACGATACCGATACATCGGTATCGACGCCTAGTACTATGGAGGAAAAAGAGGTGATTCAAGAAATTTTCTTTATAATTTTCTCACGTTTTTGATTGGAAAAACTCGATATTAACTTTGGTACTACCAACCAGGGTCTATTTATACTCTGTTCAAGAAAATGAGATGAAATTTTTTTTTTGCATGGATCGAAGTATGAAATACATTCTATTTGCTATGTCTAAAATAGGCTCAGGATGAGTGAGCCGACTGTTCTCCACCCATCGATGTAAAAAGTTCTTAAAAATCCAAATTTGTCTACTAGATATATTCAACGGAAGTTGAGTAGTTTTTATCAATTCTCGTTTCCACTTACATGGACAAAGAGGTAATCCACTTGAGGACAAAAAGAGTCAGTCTATTCAAAAATATAGGAATTTTTTAATGATGTTC